TCGTATTGGACGACTGCCTGAAATTCGGTTTCGAACGAACCATCTGATATGTGTCCCTCAAACTCTTCGTTCAACCTCCTGAGCTCATCGTTATTGGCGCACAATCTTTCGGCCACGGTGGTAATCTGGCTAATCGTTGAATCTTGATTTTGTAAGAGAGCACTTGCCTCGTTGATGAGTCTTGTGATTTGCGCGCGTCGGATCGTTCTTTTAGTCTTCAGCCTTTCCATGGGGATCCACTGCGCTGCCGAGTCTCCTCGTGTGATGCCCCTTGACTCCCGGGTTTCGGCACTAAATTGTTGATATGAAGGCCCAGGAACAGTGGCAGCTTCACAAAACTGAAGAGCTTTAATTCCGACGTGCGTTCGATGCGAAAAAAAAAAATGGTAGTAAAAAAAAGTGAACGAGCTCCACGCTCGCCGTCCACGAGCGCAGGCCCCGATCTCGTGTGCAGGCTTGCCATTGTGACGATCAACACTGCTTCGCTGGTACTCGACCAGTTTGATGTTTGATCTATTTTCAACAGCAGGGGTGCTATGTTGCGCTTTTTGGACTCCCAGGAGACTAGGAAGAGGGAAGTGACGTCAACGACACAGCAAACGCAGATTGGATGTTGACAGAAGAAAACGAAATCAACACCCAATCTGCGTTTGCTGTGTCGTTGAGGTCACTTCCCTCTTCCTAGTCTCCTGGGAGTCCAAAAAGCGCAACATAGCACCCCAGTGTGGGGATCCCAGATGACGTTCGCATATTCCACTGTGGGCCGCATGAATGTTTTATAAGGGAGTATGCGGAAAATTTGAGTGAACGTTTCAGCTGCCATAATTTATTAGTGGCTTTTGATGTAATAGAGGTCATGTGCGATTCCCAGGACAGATTGAAAGGGTAACACCCAAGAATTTGTATTCAAGGACGTTGTTGAGTGTATGTTCGCGCAGCTGTACTGAAAAATGTAGGGATATTTTTTACGAATGATTGACACAGTAACATCTGACATACCCTGCACCAGCCAGCGACTCTAGATAGGCACTTTTTTAGTTTAAGTTGGCCGTCAGGAGTTAATAACATGAAACAATATACAATCATCGGCAAACAGCTTGATGCTGACGTCAATATCTAAACATAAATCATTAGTAAACAATAGAAACAACAATGGAGAAAGACTTGAACCCTGTGGTACACCAGATGTAACATTGCAACTCTCCGCAACCAATATAGAATTTTGTATTTCTTAAAAATAAGCTTGTATACCACTTATTGTGTGAGCCAGTATCGAAAGCCTTTGCCAGATCTAGAAATACAATATTCATTGAGTGCGCAAGCAAAGTCGTGAACGGTAAGCAATAGCTGGTTTGTAGTGGAATAGCCCCTTTAAAACCCGTGCTGATGGGGACTCAACATGTTATGCTTTTCTAGAAAAGCAGCAATTGCGCTTTGCAATTACATGTTCAAGAATTTTGCAGCACTGAAAAGTTATTAAAATCGGACAGTAGTTTGACAGCTCGTTTTCTTTACCCTTTTAATTAATTGGTTGTATTTTAGCAATTTTCCAGTCATTTGGCCAACCCGCATCGGTAAGTGATTTTCAAAAATTATACATAAGTACCGGGCGTCCGCGAGAAAACCAAACCGTTTTTCGCACCGCAAAAATAAAACAAACATCGCGGGCAGCTCAAACTCCGTGAGAACGTAGCCCCAGCCGTTCGAGCAAGATGCCAAGGTTTCAGCACTAACCGTCACCTTATTCAAAAATAAAAAGCGATTTTCTGGAAATTGCAATGGAACAATGGCGGCCGACGGAGCTCTCGAATGCATGGAGCTCTTTGGCTTCAGAAACCGAAAACGGGCATAAATGGGCCCCATTTTCCCATTGAAAATTTCAGAAATTACTTATAACTTTTGAATAAGATAGCGGTTGGTGATAGAACTTTGGCATCTTGCTCGAACGACTGGGGCTACGTTCTCACGGAGTTCGAGCTCTCCGCGATTTCTAGTTTATTTTTGTGGTGCGAAAAACAGGGTTCGGTTTTCTGGCAGACGCCCTGCCCAGTATTCAGCTATTCACGGAGCTTTAAAAACGAATTCGGTAATATATCGGGACCTTGAGATTTTCTAGTTTAAATTACCCAGTAAATTGAGAACACCTTTTTTTTTTTTTTTAATCACAAGGTTTAACGGACGCAGGAATCGTTATTCGAGAGTCAAAACAAAAAATGATTTTGATTCCAGCACATGTCTAGGAGGCGCCGCAGTTGGGCGATAGTCAGCGCCTCCACCGGCAAAGAAGCGCAACGATGGGCAGTCGCCGGCGCGCCGTCTACTTCTCATGCCGCCTTCCTCGTTGCTAACTTCCAAACGTGGCGCTGGCTTGTTTGACCGCGTTACGTCTTCGCATATATTGAAAACGTAGTGACTGGTTTAAGGTAGAACTCAGCTCTTTTTTTTTGGTATTGTGGACATAATTTCTCGGGCATATTCTTGGTAATTAATTGAATGCACTCTGACGCAGAAGGCACTCACGCAACAAGGGTTGACTTCCGTCTCGGTGTGCTAATCGTGATTAACATTCGATCGTCTGCCTTATATGCATGCAGAATGCTTTATTTCGTGGTAACTCGGAAATGTTCGAGGTAATATTAATTTTATTCCCATTATTTTATTGTTGGTAAACATTTGCAAGCTTTTTTTTTGTTTATTTTCTATCTGATTAATATATATTTGCATGACCAACCTTTTAGAATTGTTTACGATTCGGAAGGCTTTATTCACCGTGATATGTGGCTGGTTCAAAATATCTAAACACTGATTTGTTTGGACAGAAGCAGAAGCTAATTAAAATTTATTGACTGCCAAGTTGGCGTATCACAACGTGAACACTAAATTTAAGACGTTACGAGAACAATAAGATGGTGCGAAACCTGTTGCCCACAGACCAGAAGTTGGCGGTGTATTTCAAAAGCGCGTTATTAATGTTTCAAGGTATATAGTTTTTGTTTTGTTTTAACAAGAGTGTTGTTTAGATGTATGACGGTACTTGAACTAAGTATTCGACGCACCCCTTACATAAATATGCGTACTGTGATGACCCAATGTCTCAGCTTCAAATTAGACTAGTCAGCACCGGAGCACCGGTCAAATGACAAACAGCAACTCGGAAGATCTGCGAATAACACTCTGGAACTCTTCGCCAAGTAACAATATCAAGTGCCACAAAGACAGTCCAGTCAGAACGCTATTCTGGTATCTCGAATAAATTAAAGCAAAAAAATGTACCCACCATTTTACTCATTTCTTCCGCCGGCCGCACGCCCGGCTGGGGCTTGAGTTTTCTCATGAAAGAAAACACAGCTACGAATGCAGTCTTGACGGTTTCGACTGAGCACAACAACAAATCATCACCGAATAGTAGTGATCGCTAAAACTCGGGAAATAAAAAAGATAAAAAATTCAGTATTTCAACTCCAAACGTCATTGTTACCATACCGCGTACCCCCCTCGTGTACGGAAAGCAAAGACCTCGCGCTTGTTGCTTTTGATGTTTTACACGTTCGGATAACACACAGTATCGTTTAAATAGCAAACTGTAACAAAAACAAAAGCGGTGGTTTGTTTGTGTTGTGCATATGCTACCGAAAGTACAGCGTCTTCAACGGCGCAAATGACGACTCATCGTTGAGGAAGTCGCGCACCAGATGGTGCGACCTGTCAGGGCAAACTATTGCACTCTCTCCCAGCCTTTTTTTTTTTAAGGGCTCCCCAACCTAACCTAACCAAACAGCAAACCATTACCGGCCACCATTATCAAAATATGCCAAAACAGAATCAAACAAAAAGTAACATCACGGCGAACAAGCCTAGCCATGTCAACAATTTTCAAAAATTAGCTTTGAATGGACATCAGCAGAAAATAAGTATAGCCCGTGGCAGAGTGCCCATTTTCACCTGTATGTGTTCAAGACTAAGGAAAGTAATGTCAAATTTGAATAAGAATCAAGGCGTGAAAGAAACTAGTGAAAAAATCCTTATGCTAAATACCTTCAGCAACAAATATTTTCACAAACTAAAAAAAAAACTTGAATATATTTTTTTAGTCTTACAAATCCGTTAAGCACCATTCTTTTTATCTAAATTTTTTCTATGAAAATGCAACCTTATGTTTAGTTTTCTTTCTATTTCATGCTTTGCACAGAGCCTAGCATGGTCTGCATATCGGTCGTCATCTCCTTTTTGTGCTGTGCTATTATTTTCGGAACACTCCATAGTTTTATGAAAGTTTACTTTCGATGACGTCAACCGAGAGCTAGCTATCAACAGTGGACTAGCAATAGTACTATCGACAGTTGACTATCGGTAGTACTATAGACAGCTGACTATCGATTCGATAGTACTATCGACAGTTGACTATCAATAGTACTATAGACAGTTGACTATCGAAAGTTTTCGACACTATCGAGAGTCAATTTTCCGAGTTGCGCATCACTACAGCACACATCTTGTATTTAGTGTTTCTGCTACACATTCATTAATATGACAGAGACCTGTTCCCCTGTACGAGTCAGTTGTTTTATTTGCTACATCACCAAGATTAGCATAGCATTGTTTTTTCACTGCAGTCTAATGTGAAAGAATTCGGTGAAAACGGGAGCCCACACCCTGGTTTTACAGAATAGGAAGAGGTATCTTACACTTACTGATGCTGAAAAGTAAATAAATACTTTTAGTCGAAAGTAGTGAATTAGTAAGTACAAAGTATTCATAATGTGATCACTGTTGTAACCATAATCGAATTACTAAAAAGCATGGTGCCTTGTAACATAACTGAGAAACATATTCTCCATTTTTAGTTACATTCCCGGAACACAAATTTTGTACTTGATGGTGAGAAGTCATTACAACCACTTTTAGTCAAGAGCAGTGAATCAGAAATTACTCATAAAGTAACCGCAGTTTTTATTACTGTAACCGAATTCCTACGAAGGATAGTTAGTTGATAACAGAGGTTAGTGAAAAAAAAAAAAGAATAAAATATTTATTCTTCATTCTTGGTTACATTCCAATTCAAGGTTCACACACTAAATGAACCTCAGAATTGACCTGGCTCTCAAAGCCGCCGCCAAGCAAGTGGAAGTGCAAGAGCACTGCACGGGACTTAGCCGGGTGGCCAGCCCAGCTGCCTGCCCCCAAGCACGTGGAGATGGACGTGGTAGACGGACTGGCAGCCGTCAGGACCATCGTTGACCACAACGCGGAAGCCCTTCTTCAGCCCCACTTCCTTGGCCACCTTCTGGGCAACATACATCAGGTGACCCAGGAGCTGCAAGAGATACGGTAAACCAAGCTGTACTGTCTAGAAAGCCACTTTGGCACACCCCCATGCCTCGCTAAATTTTAACTGCTAAACGGAGAAACTGACTGGAGGATGTGCCCTGGCCAAGCGCCAAAAGTATTCTTAAGTTTACGAATTACACAACTCTTGAGCACACTACATGATTCTCTCAAACTCTCTTTCATTTAGCGGGGAGAAAATAAACCGAGGCACACAAAATCCGAGGGTCATCTCACCTCCTGTCTTTTTTTTTTTTTTGGGGGGGGGGGGGAAGAAAAGGAAAAAGTGAAAGCCGTTTACAACTCCCTGTAACACCGAATTAGAGCGCAGCTCTTGAGGAGGAGGAGGGAAGGGTACTGGGGGGGTGAAGTGACCTGGGGGGGGGGTCACGTGACGATGCCGATGATGTCACCAGTGACGTCACTGATGACGTCATCCGTGATGATGACGATGCGGATGCCGGTGACGTCATCAGTGACCACTACGTCATCGGGGAGGTCACGTGACCTCGGCGGCGGGGGAGGGGGGTCACGTGACCCTGGGGGTGGTCACGTGACTTCGGGGGGGGGGGGTCACGTGACCTCTGGGGGCCACGTGACCTTGGTTACGCCGACGCCGCTCAAGCCGGGAACGGGCCCCTAAGAGCTGCGCTCTAAAAAAATCAACTAATTATTGTCGGAAAAGGAGGATCATTCAATCTTTATGCCCCAGAGTATGTTCAACAATCACTAAAACATACTTGTAAACATTTAAAAACAACTGTCCCCAGAAAAGGAGGATATCAACCTCCTCTTCCCAATAGAAACAACCAAAATGAATCAGGTAATGTGCTTAAAAGTCATGCAATTTTATACAAGGGTCACTCAACTTGCTTGGCATTGCTAGGTTCCTCCTAAATTGACATTATTTCATACATAAAATGATGTCAATGTAGGAGAAACCTAATGACGCCAAGGAAAGTGACAATTTCTCGTAGCACAAGTGGTCAAGTTTCTGGCAGAATAAGTAAACTAATGTTTGTTTTCAGTACAAAGTTTTGACAACAGCCGCAAGGCAGAACCTGTTTTTGGAAGGTGGAAGTTTCAATAGACCCCATTCAGGATTGAAGCGATATTAGCGGCATGATGCTGCGCCAAGCATCTTGGGTACTGGTTGACCACTAAGTTTCGGTTTCGATTTGTCAACCTCACTTCGCGACATGCCGTCACGAACAAATACAGTGCTTGCATTCTCGAATCGGCCACTTTCCTTACATTGATAATACTGTAGGTGTTACCTACAGATACGAAGGGAACTCTGGGGCCCATTTTTTTTCAGGCTCCCAGCATGCGGGAGTTTGTGCACAGGTAAACGTGGGACGACTGCACATGAAAGAATTGGCTCCCCATCATCTCCTCAATGTCTTAGGCTTTTTAAATTTTCCATGCTGGGAGGGCCATGTTGCACTCTGGAGTGGTAGGCAGGCTGCCAAAAAGGTGTGGGATGCAGCAGGAAATACTCCTACTCATTTCTAAGCCTAAACAGGTCCTTATGGCTACTGGAGGTGTGGGTTTCAGCAAGGGCTCTCACAAAGATGAATGGGTGCAATGCAAGAGTGTCCACTTCATTTTCATGTGGTGCTGATATGCTCTAATTCATCAATGGGGTGATTGACACCAAAACTGTTCCAATCCTCTCAATGGCCAACAAGGCCCTATGATGCAACACGTGCAGTGGCGTGTGCGGAGATTTTTGGAACTACAGCCCATGGAAATGCCGCATTGCATGACACACGAGTAAGCACAGGATTAGATTTTTTTTTGCCTTTTGCTCACAAGGCTGGGACAGACACCAATTTTACTGTAGAAGGTGTTGCCATAGATAAGCACCTTCCAATGCACTATTTTAATGGCCAACTTTCAGTTAAAAAAAAAATAAAAAGATTGGCAATCGTTTGTAAATGTTAATGGGACTGCACTTTACAAATGCAACACACCAGAGGCTAGCAGCTTCCCTCTTACCTTGCAAATAATGTCCCCAACCTAAGCTTGGACAGCTCAAAGGATTATCAGAAGTTTTACAAATAGATGATGATGATAATGTTATTTGTCTTGAAACAAACCGGAATGCTCTCCGTACAGGGCGTTACTTTCTCAAATAGAGGATGAAGGTCAGATTGCTAAGGCTGCGAGCAAGAGATGAGCATGGAAATGCCCATGGATTAAAAGGAAAGCTGTTGAAAAAAAATCGAGCTGGAGGTGGAGGTGAATTTTAGAGTATTTTTGAGTAAATCTGAACATCACATTCATTTTCCCCAAAGATGTAACTAATGTGAGAAAAGAAAAAAAAATTCCGACCAGTCGTTACATCATAAAAGGATCTTTTGGCCACCAAGCGTGTGTGCCTCTTGAGGGCAGTGCGTGCAATCGCAAGCTTGCCAGGTATATTCCCTGCACTGACATCCGTCGTGAAGATTTTTTTCTAACGTGTTTGAATATAGCAAGTGTGCGCTTGCATAGCTTTGATAGGCGCTGAAGATGCACAAATGCAGAGATTCCGAAAACTCCTTTTATGTAACGCTTCGAAAAGCGATACTTTAAAAATGACTTTCTGCAGCCTTTGTGCACCAAATCAAAAAATAATATTGATATTTGTGATCCTTGAGGCCAAATAAAGACGATTTTAGTGGTTTTACTTAAATACAGAACCACTTCAGTTTCCCTGTAAGCCAGCGAGCAAATTAGGGCACCCTACTGGAAACCTTGCACATTCTGAGCAAGCCACCCCAGCTTTCTTTCTACAGCTTTTTACTCATAGAATGATGCCTTCAACAAAAAGAATGGAAATTAAAAAGGCATCTGGAAAAGAGTAGCTATGCCACCAAAATTAATATGAATAACATATTAAACATCTACTGCTGGCTCCCCCCTCTCGAGTTTGAAATGTTAGGTGCCCTATTCAGTGGATGTTGCCACACTATTTGCTGTATGTAAGTGCCATTCGCTGACCAGATCCTATACTACGTCAACACACAGCTGCCATTGACGCTGCATACACTAAGCCAGCAAATGCACAGAACTCCTTGAGTTTTTCCACTCTCACGGTGTATATGTGGAAATACTTGTAAATCTTTACGGCGAAGCTCTCCACGTCGAAGGGCAAGCAATCCACCCCAGACTGCAGGCAGTTGTGCACTATGTAGGCACCACAGCCAATGCTAATAACGTTCCTCCCCAGAGCTCTCTGCAGCTTTCGCCACACATTGTTCTGTCCCAATAGCTTGGTGCCACCGAAGTTTGTGTTCATGTTTCCCGCAACCTTGGTCTGCAGGGAATACTTCTCATTGACCAAATTGAGATACCAAGTTTGGAGGTCGGATGTTTCGCCACTGAGAAAAAAGAACTCCAGCACTCTTGTTTGTACCCCACTTGTTAGATCAAAGTACCTCACCAGCACAGGAAACACCTTTAGCTCTTTCCTGTTCAACGCGTCCACACTCAGTGTGACGTAGGAACAATTGTTGAAACTTGCTGTCAGTTCTTCCAACGACAAGGGTGCCAAGACATTGCAGATTATAGCTTCGCACTTTGTATGTGCACTAGAGAACTTGGGCTAGAAGAGTTCTCTAGTCAGTTGCGACGTACAGTCATTAGACCAAAATGTCTGCCAGTGTCTGATGGTGTGGTAGGCGTACAACCCCTCCGCAGTGGTCACTTTGTCACCATCAGAGTATTGAAAGAAAGACGAAGAAACACTGGCGCTCACGGACCTGATCTTCTACGCGTTCTTGTGCTTCCGAGTTCTGATGTGCTGGCCGATGTCGCTACGGCCTCCGTGCGCAAGAGCAAAAGACGTTCCACAGATTTCACAAATAACTCTGCTGTTACACTCTGTTGAACTTAGAAACGTACACTCATTGCAAAGATCTTCATTGAACACAGACATGCGTTTCTTCGCCATTATCGAAAAATAGTGTAGTGTTGCCAACCGAGATTCTACATGCGTGCTATATCCAGTAACTCAAAAAAATATTTTTATGCACGCGTCTTTGATAGAGAAAAGGTGTTTGTGGGCAAGAACAGTTTTAAATCTTACCCTCTGGGTAAATATCTTAAAGTACTTACAGTTATTTTTGTAATATATACTTGTAACTAGGGGTTTGCGAATACTCGAATATACGAATTCGAATCGAATAGAAAGTTCCCGAATAATTCGATTCGCAAATCGAATTCCTAGTATTCGGTCACTCGAATATTCAATATATTCGGCCAAAGACGCACGGTCGGCGCGGAGCTGACAAAAAAGCCCTTTTTCTCCCGATGTAAGCGCCGTGATGTTCGATGTAAGCGCCGTGATGTTAGACAGACCATGCGAAAAACAGTTCTTGGTCCTACCATTCTACAAAGATCTAACGCACAGGTTAGAAAAAAGTAACGAACGCCACAAACTTTATAGCACGCAGATTTACTCACGATCGTGACACAATCTACCCTTGAATCACAATCGAAACATCCCGTTTGCGCCGCTTCCAGAGAGGAATTGTTGGGAGACCGGAATCCCGCGCCATGCCTAATTCATTTCACGAATAAAGCCCCTCGTTTCAAATTGAAGCACCGATGTAAAACACACTTGCCGCACTCACAGAAATTGGCGACTGCACGATGACAGAAAGAAAACCACGTTAACCACGCCGATGAAACCAGCCGAGTGGCCGAATTATCGTCGTCGTTCTTTTGGAACCGCAAGCCGCGAATTCTCATTCGGAACGAAACGGAACGGAAAAATAGTGTGCCTAGATTCGAGAGAGTTTCCAGCCGTTCGATAGCCGCGTTTGAATTACGAACTGCGAGAAGGTGACAAAAAGACGAAAGCGTCGATCGGGATCGGGCAGGCAGGGCAGGGAGGGCAGGCGTCGTCGCCCTTATGTTTGCTTGCCTTTTTCCACGCGACAACACAACACATGCACACTTACGAGTTACGACCGATCTGCGCTGGAGCAGTCTCTGAGGTTTCAGTTTCGCTTGCTCCCTCTTTTAAATCAAGGCTCTCTAGAACAGGATGGATAGACGGAAAAATGGATGCATAGCGGCAGTTGGACGGTGTCTTGCGCCACCTAACCACGTTTTTTTTTTTTTTTTTTCTTACTTCAGATTATATTGCTTAAGCCTGTTTACTCTGATTTAACACCTATCTGTTTATTTATGTGAAATAAAATCCCGGGTGCCCTTTTTCTTCCTTAAAATGAAAATCAAATATCGCAAAATGCCCCTTTTCTGAGATGTACAAATACTTATAAAAAATAAAAAAGGCACGGTGTTAGGTTGTGCTTTTAAGAAGAAAAAAAGGCATGCGTGGCTGTAACTTTGGGTTTTTTGTGACGTTTAGGGTAGATAGATATTTGTGCCATAAAACTGGATCTTTAGTGCCCAACATCCGACAGCAACTGCTTTTATTTTATTTTTTTTTCGCTCGCCAGAATCTTTTTTAAATATATTTCCCCTGCAAAGATCTTCATTGAACACACACATGTGTTTCGGTCATATATATAACGTATATATATATATATATATATATATATATATATATATATATATATATATATATATATATATTCAAGGGCTTTTGTTTCATGCAAGATGCATATTCTGCAACAGGTGCATACTCCGCACATGATAATCTCATTCTCAGCACACTGAAAAATTCCAACAAATAAAATCACTATTCGACATTTGATTCAATATTCGGCTTTTTTTTCTTGATTCGATTCAGTATTCGATTCGAGAACTACTATTCGGTATTCGCACACCCCTACTTGTAACGATTAGGCATAGTTTTGGTTTTCTTCAAATTGCTTGGTGCCAATTTTGAAACTATCCACTCCTGCAAAAACGGGACATGATTCTTTGTTGGGACAAAAAGACAGGACGGCAGAAGCGGACCACAGGACTGTCTCGGCCAAAACCGGACATCTGGTCACCCTACTCATGAGGGATATAAGAACAAAGGTAGAATCTATGGTTCAAACAGATTCTTCTGGCGCCATAATATTTGGGACCCCACAAACAGACAATCAGTAAATATGTCAAAAAGTTATTTAAAAAAACAAAAAAACAATTCTGCCTGGTGAACATTTGTTTCAGTGCATTATTAGGCCTGTAAGCTATCGTCCGAGTTAATGAGAAATGAGAATGAGAATGAGAACGAGCGGAAAATGGGTAAGCCTTTGCCTGGTGAGATTCTACCCAGTGAACTTTTGTTCGGGATTCAGAGCAATAAACTTCCCACTCAAAAAGCACTTCTTGAAAATTAGGGGGAAGAATTTCATATTGTTGAAACACCAAGGAAAAATAAATAATAATGTGTCTCACAGGCTTGTCAGCTTCGGCTGCTGTTGACAGCTGAGAAATGGCCTTCTTAGGAATGACAAGGAAGTGCACAGGGGCTTGAGGATTGATGTCATTGAATGCAACACACTGCAATACAAATGAGCACAATTACAGTCTGCTGCAACAATAACAATACGGTCAAGTTGCTCAAGTCATCGGCATAATAAGAATGACAGGAAGGTATCCCAGTTGTCCTCACAGAGCAAGGCTCCTACTTTCCATAACAAGTTGGCATCTCGTGAGTTTCGAGCGTGCACGCGTAGCCAAAGCTTGATGGAAGGCAAGGAGCTAGTGCCGAAAACAGGGCATTTGAAAGAAACGGCCAACATCTCTTGTTCAAACGAGACGAAAGCTGTGTTATTTGTTTCTTTCGTTTTAAAGGGGCCCTGCAATCATACTGAAGCGTCCACCTTTTCTGCGGTTTCCACGTCTCTTGGGGCTCGGACAAGCCAGCGGGCACGGATACAGTAACTAAATATCAGTGCATCATATTTTAACCGGACGACACAAAAACCTCCTCCACCGACGGGGGTGACCCGCGGTGCCGAAAGCGTGCGATATGTGACGTCTTTGGTCCTAGGCTTACTACAGCTCAGAGCCGCTAAAAGCTTCTTTTTAGTCAAAATACAAAATATAAGTGGCGCAAACCATCTCAATTATTTATAAAGGTAGTTTTTGTTCACTATTTTAGATCAGAAAAGAAACAAATGCAGTTTATAAAGTACGGGAACAAAAAATGACCCATCGACATACCCGCCACCAAGCGGTGGAAAAATGGGCACATACTAGAAAAGAGTAGTGGGATCAGGCGCTGATAGCGCCGACACTGAAAGGTCCCAGGTGTATGCGGCGGCGCTGCAGTCGTATCGACTGGAGGATCCGACTGGCTCCGAGCGTTCCAAAGGCCTTCGGCAAACAGCTTTGTCTTGCGGTTTGGCCGCTCCGCGGTATGGCAGCGCGAAGTGGCTCCCATTCTGAACTGATCTTTACCCCATGTTTGCTGTCGTTTGTGGCCAATGAAATGTTATGCCGAATTAGTGTTTAATCGCGCAGCAAATGCAATGATAGCCGCACTGGCTGCCTGCTGCATACAGCCTATCCAGAACATGCTTTAGTGGCACCCTCTTGCGCCGTCAACACTGAGTGCGGCAGCTGCAAGCGCTCGCTGAGCTCACTACCCCTCCCGTAGTTCACGGCCACTAAAGGTCTATTCACACGATGCATCTTGTTGGCGAATCTTGTGTCGCGAAACTAGGTTTCGGGAAACAGATTCCCCGTCTGAACGCCACCGAAAAAGTGGCGCGCCTCCGAAAAAAGTGGCGCGTCTTCCTCGCTTCTGGAGCAATTTTTCGCTGAAACCTCACCGAGGCCTGTCCATCACCCGAAGGAGAAACACGGGCGCTGCCAATGGCCGCTCGACTTTGCTATGACGTCTGACCTTCGAGGAGGAGCGAGCTTTTGGAGGAGTCTGATTTTCGGCCGATTCCGTATCCGAGCCAAAGCCGAAAGAAAATAAACAAACATGGCGAGCGACAAGCGGAGAAGCGGTGCGTACGGGCGTACGGGCGACGTCCTACTCAGCGTCAGGTGTGTGAACGGCGCCTAGAGTGCGGGTTGGTGGCGCGGTACAGATTCATCAATAGTCGCGACGAGTGCAAGCACCGGATATAAACCTGGTGACTGGGAATAACTTTCTTTATTAGCGGCGCAAAAATGTCCGAAATGCTTCGAGATCATCTGCCTGTTCTTTGACGTTCGCGGTCTTTTCCGGGTTTGGCAGGACTAGTAAACCCAGTGAGCCGAATCTGACAAAGTTCATTGAGTGGTATTAATAAAACAGGCTGTCTCTTCACACTGTGCGTACTTCATATCATTTTGATGAGAAACGCTTGGTATTCCCGGTGCAGATGACAAGGTTTGGCGAAATTCTCGTGAGTCAATACGCCACAGGTTTCGCGCGTCATACTCCACGTGTGAACTGGCTGATTTCGCGAAATCTTGGTTTCACTAAACTGTGGCGCGTTGAAAAGATGCATCGTGTGAATAAGCCTTTAAGCAACCAAGGACGTCATGAAGGAGGTTATTTTTTGCTTGTTTTTATAATTTTAATTTGACTATAACTTTTAAAATAAAGCAAAATTCGAGAAAAGAAAAGTTTCATTAGGTTACTACTTGGCGATGCTGCAATGACTAAAGCACTCACTTTTTTTTTTTTTTTTTCGTGGACACTTTATATGTTTATTTTGCCTTCAATATGGGCAATTGACTAACCCTTCAAGAGATATTCATCCTGCACTGATCATCTTTCATCCCGTATTGATCACTAGTATAAAGTTGCCATTCAGCTCAGAGTGGAACCGCCTTTCCCCTCCTCAATCGCCTCCACTGAAGACGTCTCATCCTTCAAGGCTGACACAAGTGGACACCTTTCTTCGAATATTGTATTCTTTGATTATGCTTTCTTTTTTTTTTTTTTTTTGTTAATACTTTCTACTCACCGTCTTTGTAATGCCCACTGGGCCCGAGGGTACTGTACTAAACAAATAAAAAAAGGAGCAAGTAAACGATACCGCAAGTGCAAAGTAAACTAGTCAGAATTAAACTGCAATGCTTGTAACAGCTGTAGCACGGGCAGATGTAGTAAAGCGTTTTATGTAGAACATCCGCCCCAGCTACAAGTGATCTTGGTTGAGTGACCGGCCCTCAGAACCAACGAGGGTGAGGCTCTAGCGTTTGTTTCGTCCTCTTGTGTTTCTTTCGTTTTAAGTCTTGCTAAGGCATGCCAAAGTGAGAGGAACTATTTGTTAAGGAAATGACAGCAAAACGCTAAAAGGGGGGACGACGGACGTGTATGGGCTATCTGCCGGTTGTTTTAAAGAAGTACACTTAAATCTCGCAATAAAAAAGACATTTTAAACAGTGACGCAAGCTCAGAACGAAAAACCACAAATGATAAAGTCCAGTCGGATTAAATTCCTTCAGTTCTGGAACGTTAGACCGCTCACACACAAAAATCAAAACTGATAAATTGCAAAGCTAGTTTGCAACCCACGCATTTGTATCGATAGAAGAAACCGAAGAATAGCTGTGAGCTACCGAAGCAAAAAGGGACCGGTTCGTGACCCGTTCACAGGGGGTTCACGGGTTTCCGCATCAAGAAGCATTTGCCACTGTGCTTTCCGCAACCCTCTTACCTGTTCATCTTCGTATATAAATTTAGTTGGGATTTCACCTCGGATAATTTTTCCAAATATAGTGTCGCCGGTATTCGAAGCACGCTGAGCCTTCTCAACTTCAGACGCCATGGCTACCGACAAAACGTGGAAAAAGTATGCTAAGGCAGCTAAGCTAACGGCACAGCTTGCGAGAAAATTACCCATGGTCGACGTTTCGCATACGTGGCGCTACAATCGCAAATGATGTTTTAAAAAAAGAACCGTGTTGTGTTGTTGACGTTTATTGATAGGTGAAAATTTCACCAGTCAATTTGTTGGAGCAAGTTTAAAAATGGACGGATAGGCGGGACATTCATATGTCCAAGCCGGTCTTGGACATTCTAGAGCACTATATAGCTCCTACGGAGCAGAGTAGCGCAATCCTTTGAACCTCGTGTTTTGCCGACAAGATGGCCGACAGAGCGGCTCGGCGCGAGTCACGTGGTACTCAGGGTTCCAGGAGGCGGCCCGCCCTATGGGAGAATACATGGAGATCGGTACAACACGGCTGATTAAAAAATGAACGGCGAGTTCACACTTTTCAAAACTAGTCTGTCGTGAAGTTAGTAAAGCACTAAACACTTTGTCAAAGTTTTAATAATATCGGATGCGTGTGCAAATTTTGAGAAGGCAATTTCCAAGGCAATGGCGTTTGAAGCAGACGATTTTTGCTCGCAGCGGAGATGGGCTTTTCGGGTTGGCCGGAGCGGGTCACGTGAATGGTGTGACGTCGCCGTGTCGTCTGCTGCATGATGCCGCTCAAGCAATTTTTAAAAAAAAGTCAGGTTCTTGCGGGTCACAAAACTTAGCGCAAATTATTCTAAAATGTTCCATTATTATGTCACAAACGATTGCCATTCCGTATATTCCCACAATGCTGAAGAAACAACGATTTTCTCACGTTCTCCATGCATTTCTGACCGCAGTTGGAACCTCCGGGCGTTCGCCGCTAGTCGCCGAGAGGCGGCGTTCATGATTGCGCTACTTAGAGCTTATGGCTTATGAAGATGAAGATGAAGGTCGCAGATCTTAAACAGGAGCTTAAAGCAAGGGGACTTTCAACGGTTGGTTCTAAAAACGAGCTATTAGAGCGACTACAAGCCGCCACAGAAGTCTCCAACGATCTGCTAACAGCTGTACAGTGGGAGGAGACATCACGGGACAGCGACGGCGAGCTGAGCGCAGAAGCGGTGGTGCCGGTGGGCCTTCTACCTACCTCAACCGACGGCAAAGCTGGTGCTAGCATGATCAATGACTGTGAGGGAGCGTTTGCAACACCCCTAGAGACAATGTCTACCTCTGCTGGGATTCAGGACAGACCGCTTCCATCTACTTCAGAACGGGCGATGGTCGAGGTGACGCAGCGTCGACTGAATGACGAGATCCCCAAGCAGGCTTCACAACTAAATTGGCTGAAAGGTGCGACGAAAGGGGATCCTCTCATAAGCTGTGACAGGTGCGGACGGTGGGCCTACATTTCAGAGACTGAGTTTGAAACTCATGAAGAGATTGAAGATGCTCATTTTGTTTGCAGAACATGCAAGGCCTTAGATGAGATACACAATTCACACAGGACAAGGATGGATGCGCTGGCAGACAGTGTGAACGGGATTATCCAGAGGTTAGAGGGTGCAACTCCTCAAGGTGAACCAAATGAAACAACCACAATTCGAAAACTTCAAGACCGAGTGGCCGAATTAGAACATCGCGTGGAAGAGCTTCAAAAAGCCTTGGACAGCCTTCTTGATGGGGTTAGTTTGACTACAACTCCAGTGAATTGTGAAAAGAACCGTGAACATGACGCCGGAGACAATAGAAGAAAGAAGGATCAGGAGGACCTTGCATTTTTGACACAGTACAAAGACTTGCTGTTGCTCAGGAAGGATGGAAAACAGCAGGACATAGTGAACAGGACACGTTCAGAAGCAGTGGATGACTGCAGTCAGACTGTCTGCAAACTAAGTGCAGAAAACGTCACAACTTCGGAACAAGGAGAATCAGAGGAAGTGCAGGATAACTCATGCTCGCGCAGTAAAAGCAGCCCGGCGACAAAGGGAACGACAAATGCTGGAAAAGTGAAGGACAGACCTCCTCGCGGAGTTAAACGAGAAGTCCTGCTTGTGGGGGACAGCAATGTGGAGAGAATTGCCCAAGCTTTTATCGAAAAGATGGACGATAAGCGAAGCGTTGAGGTGTTGCTCAACAGAAAGGCGACAACTGAGGATGCCCATAGCATGATTGCCGGATACGAACGCCAGGCGCGGATGGTCTCCCGCATGTATATTTTGCACGTTGGCCTGAATGATGTACTGCGAGGAGACCAACCTGACCATGTTGTGGAAATCATCAGAAGGAAGTGGAGCAGGCGTAAAGCATCCCTGGCTATCTGTTCTGTCCCAGAAGTCACCAGCAAAGGCAAGGTGGTGCAAGCGAGCGTGATGTTGCTAAACGTCAAGCTAAAAGTATTATGCAAAAAGATTCATGCTAAGTTCGTGGATCTCAGCAGGGACGTAGCTGCTAACGACGGCTTACAGAAAGACAAACTGCTCTATGGGCATAAGGTTATTAGTCTAGTAAGCCATCGCATAGCGGAGATGGCGAGCCTTTTTTTAGACAGACGAAGGGGGAGATGGTACGCCGATACGGGAAAACAAAGAGGAAAAGAGCAGGGAACCAGCGAGACGCCGAGAGGCAGGATGAGTGCACAAGATCAGTCGAAGTCAATGCCTCACCATCAAAGATGGCAGCATCAAGGAGTCGCACCGATGTCGTGGGCGCCTCCGGTTCCATTACACGAACAAAGGGTTCCGGATGGCACTCTCTTCCTCTCTACAACGGGCGCATTGCCAGCGCCTCCACGGCCAAGACATCAGATGCAGGACATCGGCTCAGCAGATTGTTCCCGGGGACATGGGTACGCAGCGCCGCCACGAGCTCACTTTCTTGGCAGAGAGAGGCTTCCGCCTCCGGAAGGATTCTCGCACGCCAGACTGATGGACCAACTGGTGTCAGTGTGTTCGCCGAGGATACCGCGACAAGAAGCTGGCGGATTCCCGGGGTTTATCACGCCGATGCTACCACAAGCGCCACCAACGCAACATACCAGGCAAGTTTGTGGACCGACGCTGTCCCCATCTGCCCTGCAGGCAATGGTGACAGAGATTGTGCGTCAACAGCTGAGGGACAGGGAACAGTGGTAGGGGGCATTGGCCCACTCCGATCCAAAGTGGTTGAAGACGCGGAATGGGCGGAGCGGGGTCATAGAGTAAGGCGCAGACGACGGAGACGCAAGCGTGACGAACATACACCTGTTAGAGTGGGGTTCTTAAACCTCCAAGGAGCAAGGAGGGAACAAAAGTGGGAGGAATTGTATAGCGCACTCGAGTCTGAAGACATTACCATTTTTGGCGTGGCTGAAACACACCTCCGGGACTTCGAAGAACCGCCGATGCACCAGGGCTGGTGTTGGGAGGGGTGCAATCGTGAAGAGGGGCAGCGACGTGGAGGAGGTGTAGGAGCATTGTGGCGCCGCGCGGCCCCTTGGCACAGGGATCCCAGAAAGTGTCAAGACCACATCTGGCTGACAGGCGAGCTGGTACAGAAGCCAGTAGCGCTATGTGTGGTATATCTCTCTGTAGGAAGTGCGCGAGACATAGAGAACGAAACTCTCATGGACTGTGTTGCAAGGGATGTGCGGGAGGTCGGAAAAGACAAGGATGTGCTCATCATGGGTGATTTTAACGGACATATTTATGAGCTTGATGGGTGGGAAGATGGCAACGGACGGCGGTTACAAAAGCTAGCGGAGGAGCTGCAGTTGGAAGTGGTGAACCTCCGGGAAATGTGCGAAGGACAATATACCTGGTGTGCTAGAGGCAGTAGAACTTGTATAGATTATTGCCTGGTGTCACAGGGCATTGGACGTTTTCTTGTGCAGGTGCATATAGACGAGGATGGGGAGCACAGCGTTAGTAGCGACCACAATCGTCTAAAGCTGGTCTTCAGCAGGGCAATCTGGAAGAAGGAGAGGGAGATACCGCCAAGCTCCATGCGGCCCTACCTTACCGAGGATGCTGCAGCAAAGGTGGCGGAACTTTTTGAGAAGAGCAAAGAAAGAATTAAGGCTGGAGGCTACATAGGATACGTCAATGTGCTTAAGCGTCTTATCAAGCGGCATTCGAGAATGCGCCCCAACGGACGCAGAAGAAGGAAACGTTGGTGGGACACTGAAGTAAAGACAGCGATTCAAGCTAGGCAGGCCGCAAACAGGGAACATCGCCAGTCCCTTCGAATGGGGCATGAGCACATGGTCGCACAAAACTGGAAGCTCTATCAAACGCGGAAGCAATACGCCAAACAGATCATCCAGGAAAAAATGAGGACGGCGGACCTACGTACTGTTCTTGACATTCGCTCCAGTGGAAAAGATGCTTCGAGGAAGTTTTGGAGCTACATGGGTACACTGGAGGGTCGAGACCAATCGACTCCCGTCCTCGATGAGTGCACAGGGCAAGAAGTAGAAGACCTGGGTGCACACCTCACGACGTACCTGAAAGAGATGTTTTCTCCCGAGTGCATGCCCACTGCCACAAAAGCCGAATGGACAGCCGAGTCCTCATCCGACGGCAGCCGGTGGGAAATCGGTGAAGTGAGTGTAGTGCGTGCACTAATCCACCTTAAGAAGAACACCTCCCAAGGCCTGGATGGTGTCCCGGCAACGGTACTCAAAGCCCTAGGAAAGGACGCCCGACAACACCTCGCGTCTATACTAAACGACATCCTTTGTGGCACAGCATCTATACCAGATGATTGGAGGCTCGGCAAGGTGGTCTTGATCCCGAAAAAAGGGAACGATCGCCAACATCTCCGCAGCTACAGGCCTCTGACGGTGACGAGCACAATATACAGAGTATTCGCATACATGCTCAAGGAGAGGATGGTTGCATGGGCAGAAGAGGCTGGGCACCTTACTGAGCTACAGGGAGGCTTTCGTCGAGGGCGCCGACTTGAGGACAATCTGTTCACAATAACTCAGTGCATTGAGGTAGCCAGAAAGGAGAAAAGACAATTACTGTGCTGCTTTCTGGATATTGCCAAAGCATATGACAGTGTCCCTCATTCACTGCTCATTCAGTGTTTGGAACAACTAGACCTGCCACAACAGTGTGTTT